ATTTTTAAGTGAATATTTAAAAAAATGAATAATCCGGTTTATTTATCCGTAAATGTTGTTTATTTTTGAATTTATTATTTGTCGAGTAAAGATAAGGATTTCCAGTGCTGACGGTGGAAATATAATAACAAAATGATTGAGATGGAATGGAAAGAATAATCAACAAAGCGTGGGAAAGGTGTGGGTACTTGATGATTCAAGCTCGGTGAGAAAAAAAATGAGGTCTTGCTCGCAAGATCGGCTTGATCCTAGATTATAATAAAGTACTTGGAGGGGATGCTTATCGGATTTTTAAACAATAGCATCAAGTGGATACGGACTTCCGCCGTTGGTGGATCCGGATCGTGCGTACAAGTGGGTGCAACGCACTTGCTCGTTAACCATCGCATACGAGATGTTTCATTAGAGAATGTGGCTAATTAAAATTAAGAAGGAGAACCGGCACATCGCCGGGAACGAAAACAATCGCGACTTTGGGATATTCTAATTTTATTACATTACTCGAGATTTATGGTTCGGAGGTGTTCTGGAATTACTGTCGAGAGTAATATTTTTCACTTTGACTAATGGCTTTATGGGATTGTTCCATTTACATAAACTTTTATTATTCCTATATTTCCTTTTGTTGAACAATTTTTTTTGGGGTTGTTGTCATAATAAAATAAAGATTCATCGCATGAAAAAATCGCCTTGAAACCATCAATTATATGTTTATTTAATGAATGAATGACATTATTATTCTTTAAATAAATAAATGAATAGAAATTGAATAATCAATATTTTTGTTTATGAGGAGATATTTTAGCACGTGTTATGAGGTAATTATTATTGAAGCGAGAGTAATAAGTCAACAACTTTTAATGAGTCCATTGAAGATAAAGTTTTTTTTTTGCAGGGAATGCCAGGATGATGTGCAAACATCGTCAGTGAAATTTATTCCAACCAGCGATTACTGCATCCACGTGAATACCGTGATTTCGTTGGGTTCTGCACGTAGAGTTGAGTCTCGGTTCACCAATTCTCTAGAATGCCTGGCACGCGTCCCTAGAGTATAGAGTATAACAGGATGCACCTCTACGCAGTGGTCCAGAAGAAAAACCACAAATGCGTGAAAGAAAAATCGTGAAACGTTTTAAGAAAATTGCCATTTTCTGATGCAACACCAGTCGTTGCGGTGGGAACTATTTTTATGAATTCCCGGAGTCCACCCAGAAACAATGGAGATACTTTAAATGTCTGATCTGATCTGACATCAGCAATTCAATAGAAAGAATTAGGTTTGAGAAATTTGGAATTTCTGGTGGAACTCCCGAGGAATTTCACAGGTATGACGCATTTCAAATGAATTTTCCTTCGCGTGAAACTCTCTCGGGACTCGAGGAATTTAGTAATCATCTGGTGAATCACTTCTACTTGACATATCTCCTCGTTAATTATGGAACTATCTCGGTAATTATCGATTGTGGGAGAAAAGGTCAAGAGACTCTGCAATGGCGGAAGCTCGTTGGAAATTCATTGACATTTCAATAGAAATTTTCAAGTTCTTTATAAGCCACATCGAATGCGGGACTAACTGTTCTGTTAAATTCGTAACTGATTAATTCTATCGAATTACCCCAATTAATAAAGAGAACATCCAATAGATTCAGAATTCAGATAACCAATTTTCTCATTCTTTTCTATTTTCAATAATTCTGATTTTACAACAACAATGAATATGTTATTAATTTTATGTAAATTATTCGGTGAAATTATTTCGAAAAATCTCGTGGAATATGTAATTCAAGTAAAATAGAATATTTTGTACTTAATTGAAATATTTACGTTAATAAATACAATATATTCGTTTGATTAATTTGAATTGAATATTTCAGGTTGGAATATATTTATTTTAATGCATTATCCTGGAAGGCGTCGTCGAGTTGCCAATTTATCCTTCTCCACCTGCGAATAAAAAAAAACCCGAAGAAGATGGCGACGGAGAAGAACCTGATGGATCCGGTCAACGACACGCAGTCTCCGGGTCCTCCGCCCCAGGGCGCCCTTATTCCACTTAGCATGCATACCTGTTCCCCGAATTCTCCGAACCCCCCGCCACCACCAAGGCTCCAAAAGCACCGACAAAAAAATTTCAAAATCCAAAAAAAAAAAATTGCCCGCAACAACAGCTGAACTGAGACCTGACACACTGATCCATTTATCCGCGCCTGATCCCGCCTGTCGCATTTTCCACCTCCCAATCAGCGAAATGACACTCGCCAATAATGAATATGCACGTGAGGAACATCCTGGCACGTCCCGACGCAAAAAAAACACAATCGGTGGATGGAAAAAAAAATGGTAATACCGGTTATGAGGCCGTAAAATCAACGTCAAGCGTTCTGAGTAAATACCCAGGCATATATGTACTCATTTCCCTGATAAGATAACGAGCGATGACTGTGCGGGCTTATCTATCTGACGATAAGCAATAAATTGAGATGGAGGCGGGGTGGTGGAAAAATGAGGGGATATATAATTAATGGAATTTCAATGACGAGTAATTGATTAGTACATACCTGAGTTGGGCGAATTCTCTGGATAAATAACGGCTCGGGGATCA